ATATATATATAATATAATATTATGATTAATTAAACCGTGTTTTATAAGATAAATCAGTTGATATAAAACTCATTATGGATCGAATTTAAAATATATAAAATAAAAAAAAGCTGAACCAAATCAAATTCAACCAATTTATATTACATGTTATGGTTAACTAAACTATGTTTTATAAGGTGAATCCGTTGATTATTTTATATAATGGATCAGATTTTTTTTAATTTAAAATTATTTAGTGTAATTAATTATTCATTTTATATTTACACAATTTATTTTTCTACAAAATTAAATTGAACCGATTTATTTTAATCATTTAGCCAAACTATTTTTTATAAAAATGAGTCGATTCAATTGTTTTCGCAACAAATCTATTTTTATCATTTGCAACTTAGATTGAATTTTTTTCACAACATTACTTAAATACATTCTATATAAGTTATAAATACTAACACATAATCTTGCTTCGGTTTCTCCAGTTGATTTGTATGACAGTGTCACTATAATTTATACTAGTGTATAAAGAGAAGTACTAATGGTACATAATCTTTTTTTTTATTTTTTTAAAGTATTCCATCTGATCCTTTTTATTTGAACAAAATTTTTAAATTGGTTTACTTCTTTTTACAAGACCTAATCAGATGATTAATCTATTATGTCCCTAATTTTAATTTTACAAAAATATCTTTATTAAATATATTTATGTATTTAATAAATATATAAAATTTATTTATATATGTCCCTTAAAATATAAAAAGCCTCTTATTTTTATTCTTGAAATAAATTTTTTTTGAAAACATATATTAAGTGTCTCATTAATTTAAGATAGTTTTAGACAAAAAAAAAAATTTATAACATCTTTTTTAATGAATTAGTTGTTTCAGTCTTATTTATATTAAAGACAGAAGGGACTACATACTTTCTTGTTGAATAAAATACTTTCTTGTTAGATAAAATTTCTTAGAATCTATAAACATATGGTAAATTTGTTAAATAAGATATGTGACTGATTAAATTTTCAATGAGTGTATTTTTAACATTATTTAGACGTACAGATATGGATAAAAAAAATGTTGGATAACATTCTTTTGAAGAAAATGACATTCTTTATAATAAAAAATATTATAAATTAAAAATCTCGTAAATTTTACCCTTTTACCCTGTCGTAACAGACTTGATTATTTATAATTGTGTCCTTTTCAAAGAATTTTAATTAATAAAAAAATATCATAAAATTGTGACAAACAAAATATTGCTGATACTCGTGGAGCATAGAAAACAGAGGAGGTTGAGAAATACTAGTCAAAGTTAGAATTTCTGCACAACAACAAACAAATTCTTGGACTTGCTGATAATTAAAGTCAACCAACTTTAAGAAACATGGTCCACACCCACATTAAAACCTACACACCTAGTTGGACATTCACAACTCCCTGGTCTTAAAAAAATAAAAAGCATAAATAAACTAAACCAAACCAAAACACAACACAACACCCCACACACACAAAAAACACAATTCCTCTGTTCTCCAAAACTTTCCCAAACAAACCCTTCACCATGGTAGAGAGGGAGCAAGCAAGGCCTCTAGCCCCACCAATAGAACGCCCAAGCAGCGACGAAGATGACACCACACAACACCACCAAACAAAACGTCACAGAAAATTCATCAAACGATGTGCTTGCCCACTAATTTCTCTACTTCTCCTAGCAATAGTAATCATAGTTTTGATCTTCACAATATTCCGCGTCAAGGACCCCATTATCACAATGAACGGTGTCCAAATCACAAACCTTGAACTCGTCAACAATAGCACAATACCACAAATCGGGGTGAACATTTCCTTGATCGCGGACGTGTCGGTGAAGAACCCAAACGTGGCATCATTCAGGTATAGTAACACCACCACAAGTTTGTACTACCACGGTGCCATCGTGGGTGAGGCTAGAGGACCCCCAGGGAGGGCCAAGCCTAGAAGAACAATAAGGATGAACGTTACAGTTGATGTTATCACGGATCGTGTGGTTTCAAGTCCAAATTTTGTGACGGATTTGGGTTCTGGGTTGTTGACTGTGGTGAGCTTCTCCAGAGTTCCGGGGCGGGTGAAGATCTTGAACGTGATCAAGAGACATGTTGTTGTCGACATGAACTGCACCACCACTTTCAATATTTCTTCGCGGGGAATTGAAGACCAGACTTGTAAGCGCAAGGTCAAACTTTAGTTAAACTTTAGTGATCGGTTCCTTGAGTTCTATGTTTGTTGCAGAATTGTTGTATCATAAATAATTTTCTTTTGTTGTTCTGTGGGGATGTCTTTTCCTTCTTTCTTTTCCTTATGAGAAATAGTAGTGTTGTTTCTTTTAAGAATACTATCCATGTATTTTGTTATACACTTTTCTAACATATAGGTTGGTTAAAATTTACAAAATTATAAAATTAGAAGTATGATCTATAAATTTCAACTTATACTCAATATTGTGTTTGAAAGAGTATCCAGTAGGATAAGTCTAATAAGGAGGATTGAATAATTTGCTGGTGAGTGTTTTCCATCCTCCAAGCAAAAGTCAAATTCATCTAGAATCCCTCAGGGCTGCTATGGTTGAAGACTCGTAACTTCGTATCACACCCAACATAATTTACGTGTGTGTGACAGCCTTACTATCTCAATACATATATCGTAATAATGTAATTAAATTAAGAAAAATAAACTTTTAAAGTTGGTAAAAGAATTCACATAAAATTTCATAACTGTTATTTTTTCAATATCCAAAATAATTGTAAATAAAACTTGAAAGGTAAAATTTAATAATTTATAAATTGTTTTCAAAAAACAAGGTTCAACTCTATATACAAATACAATTCATATCCTAGAAATCTTCTATCCCGATGTCACAATATCAGAGCATACCTATAATTCAACTGTTGGCATCCTAGATGTCACTCATAGCCGGATCAGAATCACCTAAAACATCCACAAATTATACGATGAGAAAAGAAAACATCTATATGTAAAGCACATACAAACACACCATAACGTAATCTCTTCATAACTCATTACATAATGAAATATTTACAAGCATCTATATATATCATAATTTATCAATCATTCATTATCTTCACATCTCAATTCACAATTACATCAATCCATCACAATTCACACAAATCTTACAATTAACACTATGTCAAGGCCACACCACAACTGACATAAGTGATACGGGTTAATTGCCTCACTCATCCCACACCATGCCAGGGTCACACCCTCCCTGTAGCATCACTTACCCAGGGGTCATGCCATCCTTAGTCATTGATGTGAGGAACCACAATCACATCACAATCCACACAAATCTTGCAATTAACCCTATGTTAGGGCTGCCATATTCGACATAAGTAATACGTGTTAATTGTCTCACTCATCCCACACCATGCCAGGGTCACGCCCTCCCTGTAGCATCACTTACCCAGAGGTCGTGCCATCCCTGGTCATTAATGTGAGGAACCATAATCATAATCATATTCACATTCATCACATCTCATCTTATAGCTCAATAACATATCACATACACACAACGGATAAGTTCAACAAAGTAAGGGTTTACACACCCCTCAAGCAATTCACATCTAGATCATCAATTCTTATCAAGTAATATAACAATAACATTCATAAATTAATATAATACTCAACCGAATCACCAATTTAATACAATATTAAATCAAATAATAAAACTCTCAATTTTCCAAAACCTAACTCACAGACACTTTTCTATAATTTCGTTCTCTCTCCCAAATCATCATTTTCACAAATTAAATATATATTTCTAATTCTCAACATATACAGAATCTAATGGGATCATCAATTCCTCAAACAGAAATAATTATAAAATTACTCATAATATTAAGGGACTCTTCCTCTACCCAACTCCATCATGTAACTCTACATACAAATAATCTTCTTTTCCCCGTACCTGGATAAACAGTAGATGAAACTACAACAGAAATCACATTGTGTCTCTCAGTCTTCAGAAAGTGTAGAAGGAAAAGAAGAGAGTAAAGAAGAAAAGAAGAGAGCAAAGAAGAAAAGAAGAGAGAAGTGAAAAGTGTGCTTTTGGGAGTGTTAGAGTGCTCTATTTATAGGATCAGATGTCTCTGGAATGGCTCATTCCAAATCCAAAACGGCTCGTTCTGGACCCTTAAATCACGAGTAAAAATCACATCCAGAATGACCCGTTCTCAAACCAGAACGACCTGTTCTGGAGTGCATTTAATACTTACAACGGTAATATTTTGGAATGGCCCGTTTTCAACTCTAGAACGGCCCGTTCTCAATTAGGTGAAAAGGTTATTTTTGAAAACCGGAACGTCCTGTTCTCAACTAAGAATCATAGGCAAATTTAATAGTTTGGAACGGCCCGTTCCGAGCTACTAAACCACCTTAATTGGACTCTTGACCCAGTAAAAATTGGGCTGTTATAGTGTTGATTTGAATTTATAGATGAGTCTTTTTAATTTAAAGATGTACATATATTCTCACATGAGAATGTTGACATATATTCTTTTTAATTTTTTATAAATTCATACGAAAATAATTGAATGACTTATTTTTTAAAAATTTGTCCTTAAAATTATTTTTTTTATTAGTTCAAAGACTCCAGCTCAAAAACTTACTTAAAAAAGTCAGTTTAATGTCATTCAAATCAAAAACACTCTACTATTAATTAAAAATAAATAAAAATCACAACTATTTTATCAAACCAAACATTTATCAATTAAAATGTATGGTCACCAAAATTTTAATTTCTAATAATTTCAATTGATAATAATAAATGTTAGAAAAGAGTGTTTAAAAATTTCTTCTTTACATTTTTCAAAAAAATTTATTTTGTACAACACTTATACGTTTTACATTCTTTGCTCGTATCAAATCAAGAAATAAAAAATAAAAATTTTAGTAGTGTATCTTTGTTTGCTCTTTTTTTTTTCTTTTCATAATACTTAAAAGACAAAATTTTATAAGATTATATTTTTTCATTATGCGTGAGTATATATTAATATACGTGAATATGCATAAGTTATACCTAAGATAATTTTTTTTTCTTTATATTTTAAACTCTAAATTTTAATAAGAATAGAGTAACTTTTTTAATCATGCAAACCTTGCCATGTAAATTAAAAAATAGACTCGTAATATATTTAAAAATATAATTATTGACTTATTTAAAATTAAATTTATTTAATATTATTAATATAAAATAAGTTTTTTAAATACGTTAATAGAATAAGTCAGACTTTTAAAAATGTCAGATTAAATTTATAAAAAAAATTATATAATAGATACTAAATCAAATTTAAACTTTAATTTTATAAAATAAATTAAATCTATATATTTAAAATCTCACCTCACATGTCTCATTCTCAGATGCCTCATTCTCATCTATGGTCTCAATTCTCTCGCATTCCAACTCTAACAAGGAAATGAAATATTGGAAGAGAGAATTTAAGAATCCGTTGTTCGAATGATGTTAACAATGATATTTCAACAAATATGAGTGTTTATATGTGATTGTCTGACTAGTTAAGCAATTATTTAAAAGGTTCTTCTTGAGAACATTGGAAAACAAGATTTGATTTCATTAGAAATCACTAATTAAGATAAGTACTTTCTTCACTAGTACTCGAAAGCTACTTCTTGTTAATATTTTCCTTAACTAAAAAGGCAAAATAAAATGATAAAAATTGTTAGGGTTTGACAGAAATTATCGGTACTATCTCATATACAATTTTTTGGCAATGCAAATTTAATAATTTCGACCAAACATCAAAAGTCATTTAGGCCTTAAATGCGATAACAATTGCTCTCTTTCCACTGCATGAGTCGACATTGTTTTTGTTGGTTTCTCTACTTCAAATTTTGTTTCGAGTGAACCACACCTATTCGAAATGTATTAAAAAAATTTGACTAGATATTTAGTTTGAAATTGGATTATAAACAAAATGAGTTATATATTTGAGTTAAAAATTAAGTTTAATAAATAAATAAGTTAAATTTAAATTATATAATTCAATTTATTTAATTTATTAATCAACGACATATAAATATAATTTATTTAATCTTAACTTATTAAAATTTAAATGGATCTTTAAATTATAGTTATAAATTAGTAATATATATTTCATACATAGTAACATTTTAGATGGATTAATTTAGGTATTTAGTTTGGAGTAGTATTTTCAGTAGTATATAGTACATATATCATAGATGGTATTTTTGTAATAGGTTGAAGTAATTCTTGTATTATCTTTAATTTCAATTATTTAACTTATAATTTTTTTAATAATATATATATATATATATATATATATATATAGTGTAAGTAAAAGTAATTTTTAGTAATAAATATTATGTCAATATATGATATGTATCACTACATGATATTTTTTGTAGCGATTGATTGTCTGGATTGTGAATCTAATGTATAAATGATAATATGATGTGTCATATTGATAATTAACATGAATACAAATTATGTCACATAATTAATATTTATACATATTAAATGTTTATTTATTATTTATGCATAATAAATATTCATTAAACATTTGAGAGAGAAATTGTCACAAAGAGGAAGTCCTTAATAAAAGTTCATAAGGAAGATATGAGAAAGAAGTAAGAAATACAAGAGAAAATAAAGAAATAATAAAAATATAACGGAAAAAAGTCATGTAAATTTTCTAAGATTTTGATGAGATTATTTGATGAGTGAATTACAAGTAAATTATACTAAAAAGACTCACAAAATCCAGTATTCAAAATAATCTATTGAAATCTATATATTTTTGAATATCAATGAACTTTCTTTAAGTAAAAAAAAAAAAGTTTTAATTGAATACTACCAAATTTTGATGGACTTATAATTTTTTTTATTGTCTTAAATTGAATATCACTAGATTTTGACAAATTCTTAAAAAAAATTCTGATTGTTTTGATTGAATAACACATAACTTTTTTATATTAAAAAAAGTCTTGATTGAATATCTTATAAAAAAAAATCTTTTAAAATCCATTAAAATCATAATCTAATACACCCCCTAAAACTCATTTAATAAATAAAAGCATCCTTTTTTTTTACAATTTTAGAAAACTTGGGATGTTACACATTTTTGACGCAACTTCTTGACATGATGTTATCATATTTTTTTTACATCATTCTTAAGCAATGTTAAGTTAACATATTAGAAGGATGGTAATATTATAATCATATCTTAAGGATAAAAGTAGGGATGACAAAAAAAAATAGCCTAAATGAATACTAATGAGTATAAGTATTTTTTTTTCCTGATTATAAACAAGACAGAAATGAGTATGACAGTAACCATATTTGCAGGTATCAGTT